GGGAGGGAGGAGAGTACTCTATGATTTCTTTGGCACTAAGTGTCCTCTGTGACCCAAGAACCCTTAGCCTTTACCACTCTCTGTTCAGCTGCAATTTTGGCACCCTAGCTATTCTGTAATGTGTGCAACAAAAGCCAACAAAAAAAAGCCTACGCTTTGTGAGATAAGTGCAACCTTGCATGGTACGAACACGGCTTGTTTTAACAGCCCTTAAAAATACACCAGTAATTGCAAGTTCACCAACATGTTTCATCTCTAGATTACTTAATCCACGAGTTTGACGATAGGTCTCCTTTGATTGATAAATATTTTTAAGTCCCTTTTAACGTCAGTTTATGATGTAGATCTCGTGCACGTGATCCATCTCACGGAGTTGCCTGTGCCACCACAGTTAGCTTATTTAATTATTTAATTTATTTATTTTATGGGTAATAGCCTCACATGGGCCTGAGTGTCCCGTTCGCGCCCTCTCCTTTGGGCTTCAAAATTTTGGGTTTTCGAAATATTAAAATTCAGTCTAGCAGCAACGCCTAGAGGACAGAAGCAAGGAAATTGAATTTGCAAGTTCTTGTTTCGTCCCTCTGGGCCTCATTGTCAAGCCAAATTTTAATACATCTAAAGTAGCCTATTGCAATCACATACTAGCATGTTACATACCTTCAATGTAGAAGTGGTTTCATTAGTGGACCCCAGTGACCCCCTCTTTGAATGCAAGAGTTCCATGTTAAATGTTTGTAAACAATGAGGTTCCAAAACTGTGGTTGTTTTAGTTTTTATGACACCTCTACGGTTGGTGTCATGACTCATACGATAGAGCTGATGCTAAGGAACCTTTGATTAAATTTTTCTTAGGCCATGCTGATGGTGTCACTGCAACCAACACAGTGTCTGGCTTGATGGGCTTGCGGCCAAATGGTGCTGCTTGGCCAGCAGTTGGAAAGGAACAAAGGACCACATATGGTGGTGTGTCAGGGAATGCAATTCGCCCCATTGCATTGCGAGCTGTTTCTGCTATTGGAAGAGCCTTACCTGGGTTTCCGATCCTGGCTACTGGAGGAGTTGACAGTGCGGAAGCAGCATTACAGTTTCTTCATTGCGGAGCATCTGCTGTTCAGGTAAAATACAGTAGAACCTCCGTACATGTATGTCACACTTGGTTATTTCAAATTCTCTGGAATCTCGAGCTCAAATCATTTCCCCTGGGATATGCTATCGTAAATGAATGAAAGTCATTTGAATTTGAGATAACTGAGTTCGAGTTAGTGAAGGTCTGTAAGCTGTTATGTCCATGTCCATGTGATTTCTGCTGCTCTGTTGAGTGCAATCCACCTTTCTGTGGGCTCCTTTCCAGTGGCTGGTAATCGAACCTAGTGCATGAGTTGATGAAGTTTTTAATGTATTTGTTTCTTACCAAACTTATGAGTATGCTAGAATGCTGGTTTCCGTGTGATCATTACGATCACTCCAGAAAATGTTTAGCAAACCTTAAGTCTTCTAGTTTCCATGTGATCATCACAATGGCTACAGAAAGACAACATTCCTGAGAGAACCTGGGTCAAACAGTTACATACTCTGCACATGCTGCTATATTTTTCATTGCAATGATTGCAACAATCTCTAGAGAATGGTGTCCATATGATCACAACGAAGGGTTTTTTCATTGTCTTCATATGGAAACCAGGGAGAACTCTTATGCACTTATGCATATTTAATTTCTGAATTGGTAAATATGTGAAAAGTGTGTAAATTAATGATAATGTATAGTCACATATATAAAAGAGGCAGGAGATCTCACTAATACCTTTAGTAGGTGTTCCAAATTAAATTTGATAACTCCAACCATTACTCATACCAGGAAATAGATAAAGAAAGCACTATGAAACCTGCAATCACACAATAATCCACGAAATAAACTCCCCTAATTCAAATCAGTTCATTGATAAAGAAAGTTTCCATGTACACATAAAACCTTCAGCATTGCTGATAAGCTATGCTCTTTCATTTCTCTAACAATCCAAGTTGAAAATCTCAGTACAGTTGTGCAGATACACTTGAACATCCATTATTTTGTATATTCTCCACTTCTCTCTTTGCATAGAATAATTAAAATTATAAATCACAGAGAAAATGGTAACCTTATACGGGAAAACATACACTAACACTTATCCGTTAAACAGATGAAATAGTTTGTCATCCATTTGTTATCTGTTACTTGAAGCAATTAGCGAAGATCTTCGCTCTTGTTTGCATTCATTTTTATCTTGTTTTACCAAGAGAGGTTGGGGTATTTATTTAAGTATAACAATCAAATCTTGAAAAATTGGTACCAATAGTGGGCTCCCAGCTGAATGCATGAATAAAGACCGCCACATATTGACCGTATATCTCAAACAATTACCTTGAAAATGAAAGTTAAGCTAAAATTCCATGCTTAAACAAGTCTTGACTATACAGTTCTGTATGTTCGCATTACATACAGTAAACAAGAAGCTTGGGGAAACTTAAACCAGGCAGTTTATGTTGAACTTTCTCCTTTCATAAAATAAAAGTATAACTGAACAGAAAAATGAAACAGTCATTGAAACCATAAAACCTAACACCCAATATGACTTGCCTCTTTTACAACCTGCTGGTGATCTCTATAGACTATGCAAGAGTTGACTGACTTGGTGAGGCAATGACTTTGTTACAGTACCTGAAAAATCTCTTATAGTTTAGCGTAGTGCAGTGGTTTAAACGCACATAGGTGTCATTTAAGTCTAATTTTTGGTTAAGGATGCTACCTAAGGTGGTTGATCCTCAGTATTGCATTGCAAATGTGTCCCAAAAAAGTCTGGAAATTTGCAGTAGTGTTTCTCTGCCTCTACTGCCTCCATGTAACCCTGTAAGTATTGTACTATATAGTACTTACAGGGCTACATGGAGGCAGTACAGGCAGTACAGGTAGAAAAACATGATCTACTCTAGTCTAAGGCCGTAGAGACTGTACAGGAGCTGAGAAGCTCTGCGCTTAATTTCCAGACTATTTTGTGCTGGGTATAAAAAGAAATTCATCAAACTCTTTTCTTTGTTCTCTGAGAATTTCGTTAACATTTTCATTGAACCTTATATGCAGTACACTTACCTTAACCTGTATCCTACGCTACAGTGACTTCGTGACGAATACAAAGTAGCACTGCTGTCAAATTGCTTTCTCTAATACAATTGTTTTATGAAGTCTCTCACTCGCTCACAATCGAAATGTTTGCATAAACAAACTTTTAATTATCATCATGTCTTTTACTTACTCACAGTCAGCAAGATTTTAGCATNATATAAGGTTCAATGAAAATGTTAACGAAATTCTCAGAGAACAAAGAAAAGAGTTTGATGAATTTCTTTTTATACCCAGCACAAAATAGTCTGGAAATTAAGCGCAGAGCTTCTCAGCTCCTGTACAGTCTCTACGGCCTTAGACTAGAGTAGATCATGTTTTTCTACCTGTACTGCCTGTACTGCCTCCATGTAGCCCTGTAAGTACTATATAGTACAATACTTACAGGGTTACATGGAGGCCGTAGAGGCAGAGAAACATTACTGCAAATTTCCAGACTTTTTTGGGACACATTTGCAATGCAATACTGAGGATCAACCACCTTAAGTAGCATCCTTGACCAAAAATTAGACTTTAAATGACACCTATTTGAGTTTAAACCACTGCACTACGGTAAACTATAAGAGATTTTTCAGGTACTGTGACAAGGTCTTTGCCTGACCAAGTCAGTCAACTCTTGCATTGTCTATAGAGATCACTAGCAGGTTGTTAAAGAGGCAAGTCATATTGGGTGTTAGGTTTTATGGTTCCCATGCCTGTTTCCACGTGCTGTCATCATTCATGCATTCAGTTGGGAGCCCACTACTGGTACCATTTTATCAAGATTTGATTGTTATACTTAAATAAATACCTTAACCCCTCTTGGTAAAACAAGATAAAAATTATCAGGTCCGTGTCTATTTCAACTTAATAAAGGTGAAGTCATGTGGTACATGCTAAAATATATGTCTAACCCATAAATTGAAATTTAGCGACGGAACGTCAAAGATTTGCATTTTTAACATACTTTGAAAAGCTCTCGCTTTTCTCACAGCCTTTTACAGAAACAAAATTTTGTTAATTTGCGTCAAAAAACCCAGAAATTTGCAAATATATCAAATTTCATTTGTATTGCTTTTGCACAATACCCTATATTAGTTCAAAATTGTGGACCATTTAACTACATGTACATTTGTTTCTTCATGTCTTTTTATTTCAGATATCAAGTGCTGTACAGAACCAGGACTTCACTCTGATCGATGATTATACCACAGGAATGAAGTGTCTGCTTTATCTTGAAACTATTGGTGAACTTTCAGCATGGACTGGTCAAAGTCCCCCCACACCAAAGCACCAAAAAGGAAAAAATGTTCCTAAGATAGCTGAACTTGTGGGAAAGGTGTGCCATTCATATACTGACATTTTTGCTTGCTTGCTTGCTTGTTTGCTTCGCTTTGCTTCACTATAGCCTTTATTTCCCCCAAAACATGCATTCATTACATTTCGTTGAGAACCTGCTTAACAAATCAAGTACCCAGATACATGTGATAGGGATTTACATGTCTCTTTAGTGTCTGTAATTAAGTAAAAGTGAAGTAGGTAACTTTATTCAATGTCAGGCTAAAATAGCAGTAACAGAACCACTAAATGGGAACACTTTAACATGAAAGATTAAAATAACAAGCTAGTGAAAGATATTTATAATATATAAATATAAATAAAATAAAAATGCATGAGATACATAAGATGAAAACACATAAAAGACATTAAGAAGCACATAAAGTGTAATTACTTATTGTAACAAGTTCTTAACAAGTTCCACTGTACATAATAAATGTGTCTTTCAGGGCCTTCCTAGTTTTGGACCATTCCTGAAGGAAAGAGAAGCCATTATTGCAAGTCATAAGGAAAAGGCTGATTTGTTGTGTACGGAATTAGAACCTATGAAAGTCAGACCTGCTCTCAAACCAGACAAACCTGCCCCTTTGGTCAAGGTAAGCTGGTCGTGTTTGTTATGATTAATATCAAAACTGCAATCTATGTAGGTGCCATGTGGCATGAAATTTTTAGGGAGTTTAATTTTGCAGATTGGTGATTTAAAACTTGGAAAATCCAAGTTGTAGGTATGGACGGGAGATTCACTTGATCCTTTGTTTCCTGTTAAACTTATAATGAATCCAGAGACCAATGTATAAAGCTTTCACTGTTGTAGCGAAGTTCAAATTAATAGATATTCAACCCTGGAGGAGAAACTATTTCCCCCAAAGTGATTAGTTCTTATTTTTATTAGCAATGTTTCTCAATTTTGTTCTTTCATTTCTGACGCAAGTACTCAATATCTTACCACAGAAATAATCTATATGGAATAGATTTTTGCACCAACGTATGAATGCATGAGTGTATAGAAGCTAACTAAATAAAACTTAACTAGCCCATACAGGTTTGACTTTACTCGTCTGCCAAAAAAGAAGATATTGAAAATCACAGCACTGATGAGCTGTATGAATTTTTGAATGATCCAAGCCATAATAAGAATTTTCAGAGAAAAAAGGGACAGGACAATTGAGGACAATTCAAAAGATACGCTTTACTATAATTTATTAATGAATAAGTTAAATATGGACACGGTGAAATGATATGAACAATTAGTTGATGAATAGAAGGAAAGACATTATGCAGGGCTGGGAGTACTACAGTCACTGATATTGGCTTGCAAAGGTATAGAAATAAAGAAGAGGAAAAATCCTTGCAACACAGTGTTTTCACATTTAGTCACCTAACCAAGTTCTACCATGCCGAACAGGGCTTAACTTTGTTAATTTGATGAGATGCGGTGCTGTCCTTGTGGCTTAGTGATTCCATGCTGACCACAGTATTTTAACAACAAAGAAAGATAACAACAAAGAAACAATTATGCAATAGGAGGAACTGATATTGGCAGTCCAGTACTAACTTAGCTAAGTTAGCTTTGGTTATCAGATAAAAACAATACTTCCTTTGTGACATTATGCCTATAGACCAGGATCACCTATGACGTCATGAATGTTTTAAATGGTGTCACATCTCCTTATGTTTCCCTTACTGTTGTGTTTTTTTACTATTTTTTAACAATGCCAGTGGGTTTTAACTTTATTTTTCCTCTCTAGCTTGATAAATAAATGATATACGACCACTGGATTAAAAATTCAGTTCAGTGACATCAAATTTGCCGCTGTTTACAACGATCCATTTTTGCAAGTTGAGTGTATTTTGCAAGAACAATTTTTGAGATTGTGAAAGACTGGTTCTTCTTGCTGGTTATTTTTGCGATTATCAAGAAGTTGTGTTTAATTGGAGTTACAACTTTTTCATTTTTTATGTAATTACATCAATCATAAAGTGAAAGAGCATGATCATGAAGAGATATAGAACTGAATATCATTCCATTTCAATTACATCTTGCCCTAGCTATAGTTTGAATGATTGCTCCAGCAATGGCTGAGTAAAAACTGTGATACCACTTAATGCATATATGTACATGTATCCCACGAGGTTTAAATTTATGGCACCAAGATTCTGCATGTGATATGTGTGCAAAGTGTAAACTAGTATGTACAATTGAAAGGCTTGGTGGGAAAAGGGTGTTAGGAATTTTGGTTAAAAGTGAACTTTGTTGAAAAAATCCCAAATTTCTAGTGTGGTTTTGTTTAGGTGTGTTAAACAATGTTCTGTATTTTTTTCCGCTGGACTTTGCTTCAGTTTTGAGATATAACGTATGCAAAAAAACACTCGCTTTTTACCTGATGGCATCTGTTGTTCAGCAAACAGACAGACTGTTTATAGTGAACAAAGTCAAAATGAAATTCATCAGAATCTTAGCTGTCTTTCTTTTAAGTCAAAGGAAAACAGCATAATAGAGCGGGAATCTGGGAAACAGATTGTTTACATCGCTTTTTGTGACATAGAACACAGCACTTGAAACCAATTGAGCTTCAGAGGAAATACCATCAAACAGAAAAGAGATGTGATGCTTTAGAGCTCTAACCTGTCAACTAATCTTTTAAAGTACCTTGCATGCCTGCCTGGTGGTTGAGAGACATCATAAAGCCTTGATCAACCTTTTAAGTCATCAACGCATTTTAAAGAAGCAAAGCGGTTTCTTAGATTCCAAATGTAGATGCAATCAAGTTATCGGCGTTTGAAGTCAGATCGACCCAAAGAGCAGTTCTTGCCCAAGAAAAAAAGCCCTCTTCCAAGTTGTGGCCCATGTGCTAAGGTTGCCGGCTTCAAAGTTTGGAAAGCGAGAACTGATTTTAGACTTATAAAATATGTCTTGCACTGACTGCCAGCTTTTCCTGCGGGTGAGGTGGAGAGACCCTTCCCGCCATGCATTGCGATCATGCTCTGTGGACGTTTCATGGCATGGTAAACAGCAGTATAAGTAAAGGAAATGGATTTGTTAAAAAGTTATTAATACAGAGAGTCCAACAGGTAATGGTCAACAAGTAGCAATCGATGTAACAGATCTGTGATCAAGGTTTCGTTGATTTTATTTTCAAATTGGCATGATTTTTAGTATCTCGAACTTCTGGGATCAGGGAACATGCAGTTGTATGGAGACCCGTATGTTGCGCAGAAGGGTTACTCTTTTAATCTGTCAGCCCAATTTAATTATAGGCCCTCCACTTTGACTGTTTGGTAGTGACATCAACATTGATCGCTGTATTCCATTTGACTACTAAGTTTAACAAGCTAGTTTTGATGTTTAGGAGCAGACCTAACGTGGCACAAGTCTTGTTATTTTTTTTTCGGTGGAACTAGCAAACAGAGCTATTTATTAGTGAAATCAACCCATGGTGAATATTTCTACTTGCTTAAACAAACCACAATGGAAGCCCTAACCCTGCTGAATGAGACTCAACTAATGTCTAATCCCAACTGTAACCCTAATCACAAGAGCCTCGTGAAATCAGTAGTTGACTTTTCCCTATGAGAAATCAACATCTTCGAACTTACATGTCGATGTGAAATCAATATCTTACTGCTTTTAAGTGAAATCAACATCTTTTCAGCTTATTGATTGACATGAAATCAACATTTGACTGTTTTTGAAGTGAAATCGAGATCTTTGAGCGTTGACGTGAAATCAAACTTTTACAGTTTTTGAAATGAAATCGATATTGACTGACACGTTGATGTGAAATCAACATTTTACTGCTTTTAAGTGAAATTAACCTCTTTGAGCTTACACATTGACGTAAAATCAACACTTTATTGTTTTTGATGTGAAATGAACATCTTTGACCTGACTCTCTGAGCTGATTTTACTGCTTTAAGCAAAATCAACATCATTGCGCTCACCAGTGGGTGTGAAAGCAACATTTTACTGTTTATTAAGTTAAATCAACATTTTTGCAGTCGCGGGTTGATATTGAAACAACATTTTACTGTTTCTTAAGTGAAAAGAAAACATCTTTGCCATCGCAGGCTGAAGTGAAAACAAAAACAAATTTGTGTGCATATGTTATTTCTCAAAAACAAACAAACTTCAGCGAAAAAATACAGGACATTGTTTAACTCACCTAAACAACATCGCATGCGAAATTTCGAGTGTTTTCGACAAAGTTCACTTTCGACCAAAAATACCTGATGACCGTGTTCCACCAAGCCTTTCAATTTCACCAGAGGAGATAAGTTTTGCAGAGAAAATTTTTGCGAGACCTTTTTTTCGCGGGAACTAATGTTTGCCACTTATAGGAAAAAATGCAGAAATCACAGAAATTGGAACCCGCATAAATTTCATGCCACATGCTATGTCTTTAACTGTACTCAATGCCCTGAAAAGTCCTATTTTTCGTTGATCTAGGGATTTTGGTCATATGTAAGTACTTTCTGTGTTTTATTCTTTGACTTACAAGATATAGGCTGCGGTCACATCTACAACAAAACTTAATGTCGAGGAAAAAGGTTGTTGTTAATCATCGTGGTAGATGCAATGATAAAGTGTATTATCGTTTGTCTCACGATGTAGTCACTTGAGATGTAGATCGCGACGTTTCGACTGCTTACTACTAGTCTTCTTCAGGACCGCTGAGTCTTCTTCGGACCACTGAGGGAACAGCTACTCGTCGAAACAATGGAACAATAGGAGGATCGAAATGCACCAATCACAGCCGACCTTTGTGATATAAATGATACCGTGCAATCAGTCGACCTTAACGCCTGAAGAAGACTAGCAGTAAGCAGTCGAAACGTCGCGATCTACATCTCAAGTGACTACTTCGTGAGACAAACGATAATACACTTTATTAACGTGACTTAAGTTTAACTTGAGTTAGTGTCAAGTTACGTGACGTCATACCCAACTGTAGTTAGTGCACACCACGCAGTTAACTACAATTAGTTCTAAGTAGCCTATGGATGACGTCAATTAAAAGAGGTTCGTGACGGCTCTGCGAGGAAGGTCTGGAATTCATCGCAGCAAATACGAGGAGGGCTGCACAAAAGCGCGAAGGCTACACGTGTTGCTACCTTGTTGAATGTAAACGTTTGGTTTGTTGTTTTTGGATTTCCCCTCGCTTCACGCTTGGTTTTTATTTTGCATATTTATGTATGCTCATCTCGCACGTGCGAAAAGAATTGTCACATCCTGATTGGTTGTTTGTTTGTAAACTTAAGACTAATCCATGAACCCTGCTTGGGTATAACTATAGTTAGTCTGTATTGTTTTGGATCACCGAGGCGTAAATTTTCTAACTATAGTTAGAGCGAACAGAGAAGCTGTCACATCGAAATAGTTATCCCTGTCTTAGCTATAGTTGGTAGCCCAGATGTGACCACAGCCATAGCGTTGGTACTCTCCAATTTACATTCTCCTTGGTTATCGCTTTTTAATTCAAGGTGTAATTACAATGCTAGAACTCCTGGTGTGACCTGTCGCCTAACTCT